TACTATCGCTATCACTTCGATTTGAACTAACAGTTACGTTTCTGTGTTGACGTGGTATGGCAACCTGAACTGATGTACTTTTGTACGAAGTTATGCGTTGTATCTGTCTGTCTATTCTTTTTTACTGACATTTTTCCTTATCCTATTGAACATCCTTCTTAATTAATCGTTTTCATAAATAATTCCTTAAGTTAATTATTTATCATAATTAGAATAATTTCAGTTTCCATGTTACTCTTGGTTCTATGATAAGTTTTTAAACTCCGTATATAACTAAATCTTAACAATTGTCACTTTGATGGAATGAGAATATACACTGACTTAATAGTCGAAATATTGTCCAAAATAGGTTTGCTTTAAGAATTTATTAGGTTTTTCTTTTTTTAATAATCATAACTTATTTTTTCAATTAAACAGTTCAGAAAAAATGTAATTTATAGTCAGTGAATTCGATTTTCTCAGATACACTGTTGATACTTTTAAAAATTTTGTCCAGTCCATTCCGTTTCGTAATGACATATGTGTCATTTACTTACCTTAACCAAACCTTTGGTGGATGGAGACACCATCAGATTGCATTAATAAGTAAGTAACAGTTAAAGAAACCTCTGGCCTTAAAGCTCCCATAGCCTCATCTCTCTCTGTCTATCAAATTCTTCTTGTAAGCTAAACAAAGTTGAATGTCAACACAGATCCAGGGCTTTTGTCATATCTCAGGAACCTATTAAATATCATTGCTCAAGTTTACTATTAGAAATTCAATGGTTTTAATAAAAACATTAGTGAAGAGAGAGAGAACTCATAAAAACTTGCCATGAATTCATTTTCTTTCATATGGATAGTAGTGATGCTGTCTTTGAATTCTTTAGAATTCCTGACTTTCATTCTCTTTTTTATATAGTTTGATTATCGTGGTTGGGTATTTAGAATTCATATAATCTGCTAGGATGGCTCCTTGAGAACCACTAGAAGCTCTGTCAAGAAGCTGAAGTGCTTGCATCTTATCATGGCTCGATAGAATTTCTAGAATGTGAATGTGGTACACCGTAAGTGGATGATTATATATAGTATTTCAACTCGTTTTTTAAAGTTTTAACAGGGTTTTTTAAAATAACAAAAAATTTTTTTAAATTTTCACAGCGTTTTTTAAAATTTTTTGTAATCCTTAGAATGTCAGAAATAAATAGAAAAAACAACTTGATTTCGAATGAAAAAAGAAAAAGCCTTATAAAAAAAGTTATTGAAGATGGATACATCGTCAAGGATGCGGCATTTCTTACAGATGTAAACTATCAGGCCGCTACAAATATTATTATAAGGTTGTAAATATAAAAAGGAATCGCGAGTTGAGAAGAAAAAACAGGAAAACCATCAAATAAGAAGATATGCGGTGATATATATTATCAATTTTGTTGAAGAATTAATAGAATTAAACCCGTTAATAACGATGGTAGAAATTCGAGAAAAAATAGAAAACATATTTTCTATAGGCCTTTCTCTTGAATCTATAAGAAGGATAATTTATAGACTTCAGATTACTTTGAAAAAGATTTCTTATCCATCGGAATCCAGTAAAAACAAACGCCAAATTTATGCTCAAAATTTTATGAACATTGAAGATACATATATAAAAGTTTTTATAGATGAATCTTCTTTCAATTTGTACTTAAGAAGAACCTTGGGAAGATCTACAAGAGGAAAACCGGCAAGTGCCCTAGTTCCATCAACGCGTGGAACCAATATAAGTTTAATATCGGCTATAACAGAAAATGAAATTCTCTTTGCTAAAACATTTGTTGATTCGGTGAATTCAGATAAGTTCATTCAGTTTTTTGATCAACTAATTGAAAAATGCAATCAAAAATCAATTTTTAAGAATTGTATTTTTATACTTGATAATGAGAGGATTCACCACTCAATTATCACAAAAAACTTTTTTGATGAAAAGGGAGTAAACGTTATATTTTTGTCTCCCTATAGTTACATGCTTAACCCAATCGAATTCGCGTTTTCGAAAATTAAATCCATTGTAAGAAGATCTCTGGTGAGCGGATCCAACGAATCTTTTATAAATCTAATACTAAATTCTGTAAATCAATTAACCAGGGATGATTTACAAGGTTATTCAAGACACGTACGTCGCAATTGTTTAAAAGCGATTGCTAAAGAAGATTTTAATTAAAAGTAGTTCTTATTTTATTTTTTCAAAAAAATTTTAAAAAACGTTGTGGTTATTTTAAAAAACCCTGTTAAAAGTTTAAAAAACGAGTTGAAATACTATAACAGCATTATAAATACATATGTTTTCCCTGTATATTTTGACACTGGCTTCTGATTTACAACCTGGAGAAGGGCGGTTCTACTAGTTCATATGCCAAAGTTTGTATTATGTAATAATCATTCTGGTTGCAGATTTAGAAAACCAACCACTGATCTTAGTGGAATATCCACTTTATTGATTTTTGATAGCCCATAGAATCAGTGGGGGTCTGCACCTGTGACTTCGTGAATACATCATTGATGAAATTATCTAATTTCGTCAAAAAATCCTATTTTTCTAACATCAGATTCACTTACACATTGATACGTCTGTTATCTGAACACACTTTTCATACCAAGTGCATCATACACGTTACAAAAAATCTCAAGTTTTACATTGTTAGCGTTATTGGATCACTTGCTCAGCTTACAGAAAATCGGTGAACTATATAATTAATTGTACTTGATAATTTTGATGTTTGATAATATTTCCTTGGGAAAGTTTAGACAAGATCGCTGAACGAAACGTTGGATTTCCTTAAAGTTCAATCAGTGAAACTAACAAATGTTATTTTTCTTTTATAGTGTCGTTACATCATCTCCGCGCCCAACGACTATGAAACTATTGGTCAAAATTTAGATGAACATTCTTATCACTTATTATTATTATTTTTAACTTTGATTAACCAGTGAAAAATAAACCCCTTTACACTTGATTTAAATTATATTAAAATGAGAAGTTTCTTCACAAACATGCTAATCAAATGTAAAGGTTAAGCACACTAATAACTCATGTAGATTTTTTAGGAAAATTTATTGAACAGTCTTATACTATGAAATCAATCATATCCCTAGAGAGTAAGTTATCCTAATGAGGACTATAAATGTTACACATGTATTACAAACGAAATGAAGTTTTAAATTAAGACTATTTTATAGTGTTCTGACAAAGATTAGTAATTTTAAATCCATGTAGAATTCTATGTTGAATATTCACTGTTGAAAAGAGTTCCAAACTATGCAAAACAACTATTAATTTCTGATTCGTTTTTTTTCAAAAAAACTTTGAAATAGAAAACTATTCATTAATTTGAAAATTACATCTGGTTAAACTGCTTTTCTCTTGACTGACTAGATTCGAAACGATTAAACAGTGTGGATTTACATATTGATCAGGGATTTTAATGTCATTTGTTCATAAAAAACACAATCACGAATGAACTGAAAGTATTTGTGTAAAAATCTCCTTTCATAAAGTTTAACAAAACTAAACGTATCAATTCGTGTTACGCTACTGTAGGGTTCGTCACTAGGTACGCTTGAAGCTATTACGAGTTCACCTTAGTCGATAAACGCGAACGAGACAATTACCAGCGTCCAGATAGGCTACCTTGAATCCCAAGCTGAAGATAGAAAACTTTATAAGCGTAGAAAGTAAATTCTACAAACATCCAGCAATCACAATACAATCAAGCACACAACTCTCGTTTATTTACACATAATAGAAACGTCCTTGGGACAGTTACGCAAATATCACACTAAAATACACAGCAGCCAATCACAGCCATGGATTTTCCTGGTGGGAAATGAAACCTCAAGGTCAATTGATCGGCCCATTGCTGGCAAACGTGAAATCCAAAGTCGGGGCATTTATGAAGCGAGTTTTTGGGGATCTAACATCCCCAACAGCTACTAAGTTATGAAAATAATGATTTTGTGTGTTGAATGTCGTCATGCGCTCAATGATTAATAAATTCTATCAGTTATATAGCTTGTTGTAATATTTGCCAGTAAACTGAAATGTTAACAGACATGTAGATTTGACTTATTGAGTTACAGGCCCTAAGTCATCCTATCTTTTAGTCTGTTAAGTTATTAAAGACAACGATTAGGAATTAATGGAAATCGGTCGCTTACTGCCCAAATATCTACTATCGAAAAAATTCACTCTATAGTATTGGAGTCTTTAGAAATATACACCTTAGATCGATTTGGTTATCAGTCAGAGATACTACTACTCATGGGTCTTCGTGAATTTGGATAGTTTCCTGAATGATCAGATTGATTTTACTAGATTTTGGCTGTTAACTGAAATAATATTGGTTAATCTTCAATATTTGTGTTACAATGAAACTTTTCTAGTTTCTAATGATTAGCATTACAATAAACATTATTTAGTGTCATTATCAAATTCATTCGACAAAGTGATCCTAAAATCACTTATTTTTAAACTTTGTCATTAAGGCCTATTTCATTCATTATTCTTACACACACACACACACACAGAAACGTGTTTCATCAATGAATCAATTAGACCGCGTTTTTAATGTTCAAACAACCTGAGTTTACTATTCCAATCAGTCAGTTAGTCAAATAAAGAACCAGTACAAATATACCATACATACTTTTCCATTTTATTAGAGAGTCAAGTCAATCAAGTGAGCTTTTTAAATTAAAATAGGTTAGGCATTCGCACACAAGACCGAAGGTCCCAGGTTCGAATCCTGTGAGGTGCAGAAGTCATGCATGTACACTATTGATGAGTTTTGAACTCGAATGAAACAGCCATCATTCAGTGCTTCCATGTTTCTAATGTTGATGGTGGTCTAACTAACAATGATTAATTGATAATTTCAAATGTGTACAAAAAAAACAAACCAATCATAAAATCAATATTTTGTATACTTCTTATCCAAATGAACCAAACAGTACTTGTTGTGAAACACAAACACTTACTTACTTCAATTGATAAAAAAATTCCATGATACAAATGCTAATCTATCAGCACAATATTTAACGAATTCATGTAATAGATCATAACATCCAATTTCGATATTATTAGTGTATTCATTGTATTCATGTGGACAATGTACATCTAACATTTCAAATTTCTCATTAAATTTACAACATGGTATTGGAAATAACAATCTTTTATCTAGTTTATATATAATAAATAATAAGAATAAGAAGAAGAAGAATAAGAAGACAGAATAAATTCACGTGATCCCAATTCAATACTCCTGTTAATTGTTAAAATGTTTCAAATTATTTAGCAGGAACAATTGAAATAACAATCGTCGTTTGGTGATATATATATATATATATATATATATATTATTCTAGCCAATAAACGATCAGCTTTCATACTAAGCGCTGATTGGTTTAGCTGATCAAATCTTATTGATCAGACGAAGTTTGATCATCACACTTGACAAATTTGAATTAGTAATATTAAAAAGAATGATTAATTTCCGTTTTTTGGGTATTGACTAGGGTTACAAATGCTTAACACGTTTAGACTCATCGATTAGACTGTGATACAGTCGAAAAATGAAAATGGACATACTCCATGCTGCAAGTGTAGATAGATGAATGGGAAATAATTTTTTTTTAAAAGAAACCCCCATTATTAATTGTGCAGAGAGTAAATTTTTTTTAAAAAAACAATATAGTACTACTGGTGTGTATTTGAGTAAAGAATACCTTTCAGTTGAGTTAGGATATATAGATAGATTAAAAACTCTCAAATTGTTTGATTTATATCCCCCCGGTCATACACTACGTGAGTTAGTTCATTGAATTTGGATTCATATGGAAAAAGGTATTCATAAATAGAAATTATTTTGTACTCTGTTAAATGAATTTCTGTGCCATAAATTCTCTTATTGTTCATTACTCACTGACTAAGGTGTAACATAAGAATATCATAGTCATTTGTAGCCTCTCACGTTCAAAGTTACTAGCACAACTGAAAAATATATAAACCTTCTTACATGATTGAAAACAAGGTCTCAGTGGGGGGATGAGTATATAATATTCAAATGTTGTTATATTATATCTACCCTGTATAAACAGAAAACTATAGATATGTGTTGTAATGCACTAGAAGGAATAAATATTTGTATTCGGTGATTAAATACTGATCAGAATTCGTTACGCGCGCACGTGACCAAGTCAATTGATATGCTTGAATTATTACGAGTTTACCTTAGTCGGAAAACGAGAGCGAGGATCGATGCTCCGGCGACACGACAGACTAATCTAGTCCCTGGCGTCCCAAACCCCCATTGAGTAAAAGAAGAAGTCTTGATCTGAAGTAGAACATGTAATCTACAAGCATCTAGAGAGTACGAGGTCCGAGTCCAGAAGAAGATAAGGATCCCAGGCTAAGGATCCGGGTCATAAAACGTCACAGATAATCCATATTTATACAGTTAGGTCGAATAAGAAACAACATTGACATATGTGACATTGATAGTTAGGACCACCAATAGGAATTGACCAATAGAAGTAGACTTACAAATAATCCAATTAGAATATTGGATGAACATCTTAACAGTGTTATATAGATTATATGTAAGATAGTTTCTTAATCATGTTTTATTTTTGTACGCAAACCAAATGTTTCAATTTATGATAACGTTTGTTTTTTGGAACCAAAAACAGACTAAACTTTTGTTCATATGGTCTTTCTTTTTGTTAACATTTTCGCTACTTGTGATGAATGTTGATGAGAATTCATTCGTTTAAATAATAATGATCACATTTCAACAAATAGCATTATTATTTCTAAATTCACTAATCACTCCATAGAACCATCTATGAAAAGATTTGAAATTGATAATCCTATTAACATTGTAATACTGTGACAAATAAAACAGATATACTACTACTAATACTGTGGTGCGAGCTACTTATAAGTAGTATATGACGTGAGTGTCAACGTAATGTCTGGCAGCAGAAGTTTGGGGAAGATCAAGAAAGGAAGAGTGGGAACACAATGGAATTTGTATGAAACGCATGAATAAGTGCAATGTCACACAATGATGGATTGGAGATTTGCAAATTAACGGTTTACGATATGGTTTTCCTATTTTACTGAGTAACTCTGTAATTTTCGTTAAATACAATTCGGTTGCCCCCACCTGTGTTCTCATTCACTACACTACTACTACTTAGTGACAACTAGTATTATCACAATGGTAGTACAATTAATTTGTACAAGAAAATCACCTACATGGAAATAATATTTTTAAAAAAAATCTGAATGAAGAATAATAAATACTTAGAGTGATTGATGATTTACAGTCAGTCAGTCAGTTACAACGTAGAACTTCATACGTAAGTACATCAGTTCACATTGCCATACCATATTAGCACAGAGATGCGATTGTCAATTCAAATCGCATAGTAACAAAGATAGTAGAGGTATTAATGGTAATGAAGAAGACTACGGTTTGAAGATATTATTCAAGAAGTATAATTCAGTGAGATAAGTTTAGCAAGACAAAACTATCGGTGTTGAAGAATCCAAAAGGTTAGAATTTCATAGAATACAAACAGTGGATGCACTGGCGCCATTGCAAACGATTTTGAGCCATATCATTCAGGGTCTCCAACCATCGGTGACTTTCGTCTTGCGGACCCCAATCAGGTAGCCAACATCTACCGACATGACACAGTCCACTTGTTGTCAATGACTTCATGGATTTTGGTTTGGCCACACCTAGCTTTCTCCTAACCTACTCCTACAGCATAATGATTTACAGATTGATAAATAATTAAGTCGAACTACATTTAAATAATAATAATAATAATAATAATAATAAAACTGTTAAAACTCCACAACTTACGTATTACACCATCCCAAACATCTGTCAATTCTATTTTATCTGCCATAACAAAATCAAGTACACTTGTGGATCCACAACAATTAAACTGAAAAAAACAACAACATAATATAAAATCAAACTAAACTCAAATTTGATGAAAATGATTCATAGATTTAAATAACCACCGCTGTTATGCAACACTCTCTTAAATAATTTCCAGCTAATTCCTATTGCTTAGTATTCTCTGACCACACAATACACTTACACTGGACAAGTTTCAAAGAATCAAAAACACGGTTGAAACAGGAAGAAAGATTATATTCCAAATAGCAAAGTTAAATGGAAATAAGAAGTCAAAAGTGATGGCGAAGGCCAAAAATAGATACAACGTTAGTGTCCTTATAGTCTTTACGTGATTGACTAGCACTGACCGGATTAGATTTAGCCAATCAGCATGCAGCTAACAACACGAGAATTTTCTATCCTGTTCTCCAAGTATGGGCCAGATGCTGATTGGATAGCAAATTAGCCAATCAGGGCGCAGCTAACGCACTCATGCTTTATTCCATCTATGTCCCCCCCTAACAACCACCCTTATAAATATTTCAATCGAATAATGATAATCTTGAAACTCACCAAGTGAATAGCTTCTACATGAATTCTTGAGGTTCAGTAAAAAAAGTCTTGACAAGTAGAGTTCATCTTTGTTGAGATTAAAATAACAATCTACCAATGATACTGATCATTTGCTATGATATTATCGTGAACTGATTGTATTTGTAAAAGTACAACAGTCAATCTTAATTGCTAATCAAATGTCCTGAGTTCAATTCAGTCTTATGTGGTTGCGTGTTTCACTTTTTTAAGTAGTATGAATGACTTACACCTAAACTGTTCGTTTTTCCTTAAGTTTAAAAATGATTCTTCAGGTGATTACTGTTCATGATATTACTTAATCCCAAGGTCATCAACACTGTGTAGTGGTGAAGACTATTGTTACTTAAACTGGTGCCTATGTATGCTTGTCAGTTGATATGCTTGAAACAATGATGAGTTCACCTTAGTCGATAAACGAGAACGAAGACAAACGATCCAGTTACACAATAGACTACTCTAATCAGAGCGTCCCAAGGCCCCACTAAATGGAGGAAGCAGTCTTGACAAGACGTAGAAAAGTGTATTCTACAAGCACCCAGAAAATATCAGGTTGAAAAGCACACAAATCGAGTTTATTTATGCATCATAGGAACGTCCTTTGGAAAGCCACGAGAGTAGCCTCTTAAAATAACACATCAACCAATAACAGTCAAGGCTTTTCCTGGTGGGAAATATGATCTCAAGGTCAACTGATGAGCTGCTGCACGAAAGCATAAAATCCAAAATTATGACCTTTATTAACATTCCCAACACACAACTACACACACTGATGCATTTTTTCTCTTATTTATAAAACTATTCGAGATTAAACCCCCCAAAGAGATCAAACTCAAACATTTAATGACGTAAGAAAAATGCCTAACTTGCAAACTATTAAGCTGAAATCATCCACTCAAGTGTATTTCTAATTTCAGTCATTCGCACCACAAGCAAGCAAAACTAATTGATGAACATCATTAAGGTATTCAAAAAATAACACAATAAATATAATTATTAATTGACGCTATTTTTGTGGCTCTCCCGAGGACGTTACTGTCATGAATAAATAAACTCGATTTGTGGGCTTGTCAACCTCATATTTTCTGGATGCTTGTAGAATACACTTTCTACGTGTTATCAAGACTGCTTCCTCTACTTAGTGGGGCCTTGGTTGCAAATGTGACTCAAATAAAAAAAGAAAATTATTATTTACTACTGATGTAATTCATTTTTATAGACTATTTATACCAACACAAAACTGATTAGAAATTCAATCTACACTATATAATTGTTTCAATTAAACAAGATACACACCTTGATCATTAGAAGACCAAGTAAGATACTTTTTGGATCACCACTGGAAATAC